GCGGCGAGGGAGAGACTGGTGGGCTATCAGCACGTGGCAACGGGTTGGGGGGGGATGGGGTGCCTGATCTGAGGCTTGATAGCAGAACGGGGGAGGGGCTGGTGGACTATCTATAACTAGCACAAAGTTAGGGGACCTCAAAACAGCTGAAGGGTCTCCTTTGCCAGGTGGGTTCTCTGGACCTCCATGGCTTCCACTGGATATTAAGCCCGGTGTTCAACTCAAAGAAGATCCTTTGGGGGTCCTGCCATAGTTGGTGATAGGCATGTGACGTGCCAACTTCTCTGCTCGAATGAACTTCTGAAGCCCTGTGTTCTGCTACCTTTTTTTTCTTTTCGGCCATTAACGGGCTTTGGGGTACCTTCTTGTTGGCTGGCAGGTAATGCATGAGATCAATGGCCGCCGATGTGACGCCCAACCTCACGCTCAATGCGACTTCCTGATCGGAGTGAGAGTGGACCCCGAAGTGGCACTAAAGGGGGTGTGCCAAGGATTTTAGGAAAGTGGGGTGGAGTCCCAGGTCGGAACTGGGATCTCCGGTGCCAAGGTTCCAAGGACAAAAATGCGAATGGTTCAGATCAGAAGGGGCTCTTCTCAGCTTAAGATTCTCAAGGCCGAGTACTCAGGTCGGTTGGCGTCTTCGCCTACGACGGGTTCGTATACTGTGCACAGGAGGGACAAAGTGGGTATCTCGACGTTCCAACACGTGGCGCTTCCAGGACTCACAGAGTTCAGAATCCGACGTGGACGGTCTTAGTCGAAGGCTGTGTTCTCGGCAATCAGACACACTCGGTGCGGGTTCGCTGAATGAAACCCGACGCTCGGTAGACATAGTCACATAGTCGCGTCTACACTCAGAGCACAACGCACGTGGCCAGTAGGGGGCTAATGCACAGGGAATAACGGTTAGAGTGTGGTAGGGGTGGAGAAGATAGCGAGGAGGAAATTCAATTTCAATGGCCACGAATCCCGACTTAGTGAACACCCGAAGTTTATGTGTGTCGGGATATTGCGTGGGTCGGGGACTGCAGTCCAAAGCCTGTTGGATATCCCACTCGCATAAGCGTTCTTCTCCCGTCTGATGTGGGAAAGCGGGGAGTCTCGATCGCTGGTTGCGAGAGAAGTACTCGTTTTCCCAATATTTCAAATATTCACAATCCCTCAAGCACTCACGATCGGTTACTCGGAAGGGGACACCGAACTCCATGCTACGAGCTCACACCAATACGGTCATGTTTTGGCAAAACCAGAGAGATAGAGAATTACAAATATAGCCCCGATGTGGACAAATCGTACGTGTGTGCATACGCGGCTGGCCATCTCAGCAGCCGCCTGCAACGTGTCCACACAAACGTATGGTCCCCCCGTAATGCAAAGAAAGCGACGTGAGACAACCAACTCTGCTGCTTTCCCTGATTCCTACGGGCTATTCATACATCCATCCCCCAATCATTCGACCTCCAGATCATGAACAAAGATTACGCATGCAAGTTGAGACGATCGACCCACCACCATCACACGTGGCCTCATTCAGGGAAAAAGGGAAAGAAGGAAGGGGGGAAGGAAAGGGAAGGAAAGGAGATCACACAATCTTGCAAAAAGGCCGAAATTACGAAGGCAGGCTATGTATCCCCCCTGGTCGCTGCCACGGGCGGCCGGGCCGCGACCCCACGGTCGTCAAAATTGCGGTCGTCGTGGCAGTAAGGCGCGGGGGGGCTTGGGGTGGGGGTGGCGGATTGGGGTTGTGCAACCCCAACCCCGCCCCCCAGCCGAAACAAAAAGGAGAAAAAAACGATTTTTTTTTAGGGGGGGGTTGCGGGTCGGGTAAAAAAAAAAAAAAGTCTTGATTGATTGATTGACTGATTGATTTGATTGATTGATCGGTGGGGGAGGGGTCGCCACACCCTGCCCCCCCTTACCCTCACACACACACACACACACACACACACACACACACACACACACACA